TAAGTTGCATTAAAAAAAACTTGTCTTCTACAAAATATCGCGAAACTATCAGTGACCAAATATCGATGATAATAATAATCGGTAACATTTAGATTGGCATCGAGCTAATGACAGCTGTCAAAACTATCATTTATTTTATTGACGTATTAAAAATATGGACGTTTCGGCTCTAGCTTCCCGGTCCCCAGTCACATTAAGCTGTTTCAAGATACATAAGAAGATCCTCAAACTACATATTACATGTTACATAAACTGACTTATAATAAAAGTCAATAATTAACACCATAAACATGATTACGAGAGAGGAGGGACTTCTCTACTCCATACGCACTTTTAACGTCAGAAAAATTGCAAGTTTGTTGCCGGTCTTTTAGGAAGAATATTTTCTTTGAAGGTTCCTATATCGTATCTGTTCGGAAATACTGCTCCTGGGAGTCGGTTCCATAGTTTGGTTGTGCGCGGAAGGTGTGTGTCTACAGATACGCACGGTGGAGGACTGCCACTCATCCATATGGTCGGGATGGAGCTTTTATTAACGCAGAACCTTTTACCCACGATTTCGTTTGCGTCACTGAGATAAAACGTATCCATATTTCATAGTGATTGGTTAAAACGTTAAGACGCTATAAGGTAACAATCAAACAAACTCATATTTACATTTATAACATTAGTAAGGATTGTTAAACGCTTTTATAATATTGAGATAAGTGAGAATTCTTCTATCAAAATAAACTGGGACGTGTCCCACCAGTGGGACACGTATTTTATCCTGCCTATCTGTAAATCAGTGTGGTGACACTAATGTTGCATGGCAATTTGCAAGCATTACTCACATATTCAGGTCAAATATCTTGTATTCAATGGCATCTTGTATTATTAAAGGCGCAGAAAGGCCGAAGTACAAGTCGATAGTGGGTTCACATAACATTACACAGGGGGGAAAGGGATTGTTAGTAATGGAGACTGAGAATCCCATTGGTAGCAATATACCCAACCAGGTCGACCTCCTCGCGGTTCCCCCTGGAAACTATCATGGTTAATTCCTGATGAATTCATCATGATGAGCTAACTGGCCTGTTTTCATTCTCATCTATCACCTTTCACTGGTGCTCCGCCAGCGTATCCCGTTAGCGCAGGCGGGGTTACCATACCATTTTCAACCATCAAAAAAAAAAAAACATTACACATGCCCCTGTTAGACATAAGTAATATCAGTACTGATATCACTCCGATATCTATATATTGGGTTTCTCTAAAAATTGACGGCGGAATAAAGGTCTCCCTCTCAATATCGACTTTACCAGTCGGATATGTCCATTCGTTCCTGTCGGGTGTTTCATTTAATTATTGTATATTCGACAACTGATATTTATTTATTTTTATAACCTATTTTTACTTCACACTCCCGTGTGGTCCCGGCATAGACATGTCACCCTGTACAGCATAGACGGCATAGATATGCAATAGGCCACCCCTTCCCTTTCCCGTGGGTGTCGTAAGAAGCGACTAAGGGAGGGCAAGGGATGGGCAGCAGGGTCCGTCTTAAAACATTTCCAAAGCCTAGCTGCGATTGCCAATCCGTCTACCAGCCGTGGCAACTACTGGCAAACCCATTTTTCTCCTCTTAAAACATCTCCAAGCCCTAACTGCGATTGCCTATCCGCCTACCGTGGCATCTACTGACAACCCCATTTTTTGAAGTCGATTTAATTTTTTTTAAACCTGTCAGGTATAGATATGGACTTACTTATTTCCTGACTTTTCGTCGCTACAACTAGGAACTGAAACCTTCTTGCCTTTTAGGGATTCTTACCTGCACTACCATCAGTCTTCAGGGTTGCTACATTAACATTCTATTAATGTAAATTGGTCCCAATTAGCACCTATTCACACATTTAACATTCGACCTCGGTTATTGATAGCGTAATTTTATATGACACGCCACTAAGACACGTCCAAGGACCTGAAATTTTGTATATCAAGTGTTTTTTTTAAGATTTAAACAAATATGTTTTTAAATAAACAATCGGGACTTAACGTGATGTTAATGACCTGTCCTGTTGTGACCAAGTCGCGGTGCAATCCACGTCGAAACGTCGCCAATAAAGAAGCAGGTATGTAGGTACTATATATACTACGAGTATACCAGAGGGAGACTTTGTACAAAAGTCGTTTGCTTGGCCACCTCTGTCCCATTCGTGTTTCAACCGTAAAGCAATTGTGTTTGCATGGCTGTGTTTCGGTTTGAAGGGTGCGATATGGCGTGAATTTACTGGGTACAGAGGAATAACACCTAAGTCCTCAGGAATGGCAATGCATAGGGGTATCATGGGCGAAACAGTTATGTCCATAGTACTGATCATATCTATAGGTGACGGTTACCACTTTCCATCAGGTGGGCCGTCAGCTTGTTTGCCATTCTAAGTTGTATAAAAAAAAGTTTATAAGATAAGAGCATATTCCTTTTTAAAAGGCTGGCAGCACACCCGCAATGCCGTTGGTGTTGTGGGTGATCATGGGCGGCGGTAGTCACTTGCCATCGGGTGAGCCGCATGCTCGTTTGCCCCCTGCGTTATAAAAAAAAATATTGTCTGTGTACATTTTTGTTATAACCTAATATCTATTTTAATGTGAATGTAAAAAAGCATATAAATAAATAATTAATATTGTATTATTTCTAGTTATAAAGTCTAGTTGTTGTATGTATGTACAAGTAAGTGATCCATACAGGTATTAAATGGATGATATTTGAGATCTGGCCACTTGTACGCAGTTTATAAACACGTGCCTTTGTTCCAGCGCATGCGCATTCTATTGTTGTTTTACAAGTTGAAGCGAGTTCAATTCTGATTATTGTTTATGCAAGTGAGTTACTTCGGGAAACCTAATGAATTGGGAACACACGATTGCTTGTCCTCTTTCTGAGAGAAAGTGATTGTTAATATAACACAAAGAAGCTAGATTTAACAGTGGTCACAAGGTATGGGACAAACGCAGGCATAAGAGGGGAAGGGGGGGGGGATTATTAGTAATACGGACTACCAATCCAATTGCTAGCAATATACACCGTCAAGCCGACCACCTCGCGGTTACCATTGGAAACTATCGTCAGGTGTATTCATCACGATGGACTAACTTCATGGATTCATCATCGTTGGTGCCCCGCCAGCGTATAGCGTTAGCGCAGACGGGGTTACCATTCCATCACCATCCAACAAAGATCATCTATTTTTTTTTAATGGATGATAATGGAATGGTAAATCCGCTAGCGCGATCGGTATACACTGGTGGAGCACTAGTGAGGGATGATAGGTGAGGATGAAAGGCAGGTCAGTTACCCCATCGTGAATAATTCAACGATAAATTAATCATTGTGGTTTCCAGGGGGAACCGCGTGGTGGTCGAACTGATGGGGTATATTGATAGCAATGGGGACTAACCTCTCCTTTGCTAACATTCCCTCCCCCCCCCCCATTCTCACCTATTATCCCTCAGTGTATACCGATAATGCAGACGGAGGAACCATTCCATTATCATCTATTAAAAAAAAACACAGGCGTAAGGGGGGAGGAGAATGGATTGTTAGTACTGTGGATTTGTAGCCCCATTGTTAGCAATATGCAATGCAATATAACTGACGGAGTTATTACATAGAAAAAAAATACAATCGATTTGAGAAACTCCTTTTTGAAGTCGGTTGAAAACATTCAAATTAAGAATTTACTGATTTTTTTTATACAACTTAGAATGGCAAACAAGCTGACGGCCCACCTGATGGAAAATGGCAACCGTCGCCTATAGACATGAGCAATACCATGGACATAACAGAGTGTACTGTTTCACCCATGATACTCCCCATGCGTTGCCATTCCTGAGGACCCAGGTGTTATTCCTCTGTACCCTGTAAATTCACGCCATATTCCACCCTTCAAACCGAAACACAGCCATGCAAACACAACTGCTTCACGGTAGAAACACGAATGGGACAGAGGTACCCAAGCGATCGACTTTTGTACAAAGTCTCCCTCTGGTTTTATGAAGTAACTTTAATAAATACAGTTATCTTTTAACCTTCACGTACGAGTATATATTTCACCTTTGTTTTCCTAGCCGCGTCGCTATTTCATCCGCTCAGAATGTCGGACAGGCTTAGTACCCGTCAACTGTCGCCACTTTTCACGTTGTTTGTTGTATAAATAATTTAGCCACGATATCTCCTAAACTAACGCGCCATTAAACGACTAATACAGACAAATATTTTCCGCATTTCACTTACTAACTGTATCCTACGGCTTCGCTCGGGGGGAAAGGGATTGTTAGTAATGGGGTCAAATAGCCCCATTACTAGCAATATCAGGTCGACCTCTACGTGGTTTCCCCTGTAAACCATCATGACTAATTCTAGTTGAATTCGTCGCGATGGGCTAACTGACCTGCATTCATCCTCATCAGTCATCTATCACCGGTGCCCCGCCAGTGTATACGGATAGCGCAGACGGGGTTACCATGCCATTATTACCTATTAAAAAAAATTAAAAGTAGGAAATATATTTATTCCAGTAAAATTAATATTAAGCATTTTTGAATAGTCATTCTTATGATTCTTTACGCCAACTTTATTATAACAATCTACGCTAATATTATGAAGAGGGGGGAAAGGGATTGTTAGTAATGGAGACTGAGAATCCCATTGCTAACAATATACCCAACCAGGTCGACCTCCACGCGGTTCCCCCTGGAAACTATCATGATTAATTCCTGATGAATTCATCATGATGGGCCAACTGGCCTGTTTTCATTCTCATCTATCACCCTTCACTAGTGCTCCGCCAGTGTATCCCGTTAGCGCAGGCTGGGTTACCATACCATTTTCACTCATCAAAAAAAAAAAAATTATAAAGAATAATTATATTACTACAGTGCAAGTACTTAAGAAGTAAATAAATAAAATTAATCCCTCATACAAGCTAAAAATTACTAAAATGTAAACTTAATTGCAGAGTCCAATCGGATGTGGGCGAGCGCTTCTTTCGTCGGCGTACTCATTGTAATCGGCTTACCTCTATGGTGGAAGACGACGGAGGTTTACAGGTAAGTGAAGGTTTTATTATGAGTAATAATAGAATGGTATACCCGCCTGTACTGTAATTATATGCTGGCAGAATGGTGATAGATAAAGAGACAGTCAGATCAGTTGGCCTCAAGTGATAAATTTGCCAAGAATTAACCATGATTATTTCTAGGACTTCGTGTAGGTCGACCTGATTTTTTCATTTTTTTTTTATACAACTTAGAATGGCAAACAAGCTGACCCGACAGCGTATACCAATAGCGCAGGCGGGGTTACCATTCCATTATCATCCATTAAAAAAAAAGTGCGAACTAGTCAATCACCACAAATTGTCAAAACTTGCATCAATTATTTGTACAGAGGAATAACACCTGAGTCCTCAGGAATGGCAACGCATGGGGAGTATCATGGGCGAAACAGTATGTTATACTCTGTTATGTCCATGGTACTGCTCATGTCTATAGGCGACGGATACCACTTTCCATCAGGTGGACCGTCAGCTTGTTTGCCATTGTGAGTTGTATAAAAAAATAAATAAAGTTTTTCAAAATAACAGTCGAGTAGTATGATCAGTGAGATTCACGTCACATTATATGCAGATATCGTATGACTGCTTATTTTTATTTTTAAAATAACACAATTAACATGAAAAGGTTTTGTCGGAAGAAATCTCTTATTAGAGATAAGCTCGCCTTTGTGCATTATAATGAATTATGTTATTTATTTATGTTTATAATTATGTTAATGTTAAACCAAATCTTTTTGTAATATGGATAAAATCATATTACGCCGACCCTAAATGATTGGGATAAGGGTAGGAAGATGATGAATTAACAGTATGTTTTGTGTACAGTAAAACAATAAAGTATAAAGAATTGTCTTACAGTTAACTTGTTTACAATGTAAACCGTGTAACTGAGTTGTAAAGCTGACTCGAATCCTGATATATATATACGTGTGTGTACTTTGTACTTTGCATACATTAAACTAGGAATATATATATGTACATTTATATCAATCAACACATTTTTTTTTCTTTTTTAATGGATGATAATGGAATGATGACCCCGCCTGCGCTATCGGTATACACTAGCGGGGCACCAGTGAGGGATGATTGGTGGGGATGAATAGGCAGGTCAGTTAGCCCATCGTGACGAATTCATCGATAAATTAGTTACGATGGTTTCCAGGGGGAACCACGTGGAGGTCGACCTGGTACGGTATATTGATAGCAATGAGGACTAACCTCCCCATTACCAACAATCCCTTCCCCCCAATCAACACATATTATAAAATCGTAACTGATCGCTGCCTGTACGTGGAAGATATTTAAGAAAAACTATTATAAAGAGGCTTTATGAACGCAGTACACCTGAAAACAATGACTTTTAGAAGTCAATTCTGTACATGAAATATATTTCCAAAATAACTATTAGGGGGTGATTAGTGATCGATACTGATGCCAAAAATGCAATCAGTAAATTTTTTGTCTATCTGTCTGTCTGTATGTTCGTTATAGAAACAAAAACTATTCGACGGATTTTAACGAAACTAGGTACAATTATTCTTCATACTCCTGGGCAGGTTATAGTGTACTTATCATCACGCTACGATCAATAGGAGCAGAGCAGTGAAGGGAAATGTTGAGAAAACGAGAGAAGTTACTCCATTTTTAAGCTTCCTTCGCGTGTGCAGCCTTAATGGCCACTTTTTAAAATGTAAAAATGTCCACCCGTGCGAAGCCGGGACCGGCCGCTAGTTTATAATATTAGTAAAGATGAATCCCCCTCCTCCACCACCACTGCTCCCACCCCCGTAAAATTATTCTGTATCCGCCCCTACGACGTCCGCGACGTCGGTTTGTATATAGCCTTGATAACTGATAAGAACACACTCATTATCGTTGACACTACTGTGACATGTCGTTTATGGTTTACACTGTGACGTCAGCGGAGGAATGTCCGCTTCTCACCTGACAACTTACGGTTAACTTATGGTTATACTAACTTATAGTTGATAGGTGAAAATGGTATGGTAACTCCGCCTGCACTAACGGGAAATGCTGGCAGAGCACCAATGAAGGGATAAGAATGAAAACAGGCGTCATGATGAATTCATCAGGAATTAACCGTGATAGTTTCCAGGGGGAACCGCGAGGAGGTCAACCTGGTTGGGTATATTACTAGCAATGATTCTTAGTCTCAGTTACTAACAATCCCTTCCCCCCCTGACTACACGTAGTTGTTAATTACTATTTTTTTTTATGTAAAAACAAGCCATGTAGGTCCCGACATAGAATAGGCCACGCTTTCTTTTCCTGTGGATGTCTTAGGCGATTAAGGGAATTTAATGGTTGATTGACGGGCAGCAGCGTCTCTCTTAAAACATCACTAAAAGTCTAACTGCGGTTGCCAAACTGCCTGCCGAATGTAGCAACTACTGGCAAAACTCCCCTTCTGTAGAAGACTTATGTTTAGTAGTGAATAATTAACGGTAATTAATATTATTAAATTAATTAATTAGTGATTAATACGAGTATATTCTTCTTATCGATCCTAAAAATACTACACGCTCCTAAACGACTTCAGAAAAAAAGGTGGTTATCAATTCGGTTGTATTTCGGATTAGCCCCATGAAAATTTCATCAAAATCGGTCCAGTAGTTTTTAAATTAATGGCAAACAGGCTGACGGTCCACCTGATGGAAAGTGGTGACCATCGCCTATAGACATGAGCAGTACCATGGACATAACAGAGTATACTGTTTCGCCCGTGATACCTCCTAATTATCAAAATAACTGATTTCCCCACGATCGTATTTTTTTTGTGGAAATAAAATCTAGGGGGAGCAAAGTGCATTGTTCTTTTTTTTTTCAGCAAAACTTCTAGAGAGAAATTGTACATTAAAAACAATTTTGTTATAGATAACCTCCGAAAGTAATCAATAAAGATAAATTTAATAATTAAAACGTTACTTAAACCGTTACATAAACAATTTAATGAGAAAATAATTGGTCCGGGTCGAGTTTATCGTCGAATAAAAAGTGATTTTCATATTTTGTATAAAATAACATTTTATTCACGCTTTGTCCTTCAAAATCGTGATATAATTTTATAGATTTATTATCGTCTTCTTTAGAGTTCCGCACCTCCGAAGGTGAAAACGGAACCCTTATAGGATCACCTCGTTGTCCGTCCGTCCGTCTGTCAAGATCCTTTTTCTTAGGAACGCGTTGAGGTATCAAATTGAAATTAATATCATATACTCAGGTCTGCATTCTCTTAAAGCAGAAAAAAAAATCAAGCTTCCAAATCGACGCAATCAAAAGATACGGCCGTTTATGTTTCATTTATATCGCATATTTCGACATTCGCAAAGGGAATCAAAACCTATAGGGTACTTCCCGTTGACCTAGAAACATGAAATTTGCCTAGAAACAATATCATGTAGCGCAAGTGAAGAAAAAATCTGAAAACCGTAAATTTGTAGTTAGTTCACAAAAAAAAATTAAATTTGATAATTTTGTGCGGAACCCTCGTTGCGCGAGTCCGGCTCGCACTTAACTAGCTTTTTTTGTTTATTTACATTCTACTATCGGCTGTTAAATGCTTATCTTCATTTTTTTATCACCCTGTATTCGTTGTGTGCGAAAAGTCGCGTTCTACACTCCGTACATTATAGGAGTAGCATGGTGCCGTTGAAAGATTACCTAAATACTAATTACTAAATAGTAATTACTATTTTGAACTACTAATTGTGCCCGAGTCCTTCGATTTTTTATACCACTGCAGTGGCAAACAAGCATACGGCCCACCTGATGGTAAACGATTACCGTATTTTATGAACGCTTGCAATGTGTGAAGAGCATTGCGCACGCGTTGCCGACCCTGAAGAAATCTATTTACCTCTTTTTTGAAGAACCATGTGCTCTAGTTCTAAACAATTATATGTAAAATAACTAAATGTATTTTTGACAACTAAATTGACATTAATGCATGTATATTAGCTACCTATCAGTATAATTTTGCTTCACCCAAACAGGGTTTCATGTTACATTACACTCTACATAAGAACATTGTAACAACTCTATATTATAATAATATATATATATAATATATTTATTTATGTCTCCTCAAAAACAACTTAAATTTAACCAGAGTGAGACTTTGTATAAAAGTCGATTGCTTGGGTACCTCTGTCCCATTCGTGTTTCAACCGTGAAGCAGTTGTGTTTGCATGGCTGTGTTTCGGTTTGAAGGGTGGGATATGGCGTGAATTTACTGGGTACAGAGAAATAACACCTGAGTCCTAGGGAATGGCAACGCATGGGGGGTATCATGGGCGAAACAGTATCTCTGTTATGTCCACGGTACTGCTCATGTCTATAGGCGACAGTTACCACTTTCCATCAGGTGGGCCGTCAGCTTGTTTGCCATTCTAAGTTGTATAAAAAAAAATAAGTATTTAGGATTAAATAAAATAAATATAATACGGAACTCTGCTGTGAGGAGCTGGTGTCTGAAATGGGTTAAAACCATCAGGCCCCCAACCGATATGTGTTTAAATAATAATGAAACAATATACATTTCACTGAAATTACACAATCCAAAAAAATAAAAATACAATCAATAATTAATAGTAGGAGATAAAAGAAAGAACAATAAAATTAAATAAATAAATAAACAAATGGCAAGCGAATCCATCAATAGAGGGGGGAAGATTGTCAGTAATAGGATCTTACAGTCCTATTGCTAACAATATATCCCCCATCAGGTCGACCTCCACGCGGTTATATCACTCAGTATGAAGTACCAGTAATACAGTTATTTTATAATAAAAACAGCCATTATGGCAGCTGTCAATCGCATCGTGCCACAATGGACAGAGTATAATCGGAATAGAACATCACAGCTACCCAAAAAAATGCATCGAGTGGCAAAATTTTGAAACAACAGATATGGTGGTTGCATTTTTATTAGACAGAGGTTCGTCATTCGTTCAGAATGGTATGGAATGGCTGGTCATATAGCTCGATAAACCGACAATCGATGGGGAAGAAAGATTCTTGAGTAGCGACCCCGTACTAGCAAACGCAGTGTAAGACGACCCCCCTCACTAGATGGAGTGACGACCTCAAATGCATTGCAGGGAATCAATGGATGCAGGTGGCTCAAGACCGTTCCTTATGACAGACTATGGGGGAGGCCTATGTCCAGCATTGGACGGATTAATGGCTGGTGACTGACTGGAGGAGACTTGGCTCGGCATTGGCTGACTAGTGGCGACATCTCGTGGCGTGGTGTGGAGTTATTTATTTACACCCGATGTGACAAAGTTGCTGGATTTTATATATTTTTTTTATATGAGATCAGATGGAATTTTTTGCAAGAGTCTTTCTCTCTCTCTCTCGTGTGGAGGAAGGGATTTTTAGTAACAGGGACTACTGTATTGCTACCAATATAGGGTATGTTTTTAGTACATTAGATATGTTTTTTTTATTAGATTTTTTACGACTGCTGCCATAAGGAAGCTGCGGTTGCTTATATGTAGCAGTATATGGGGAAGTCTATGTTAAACAATGGACAAATAACGATTGACACGATAATGATGAGATGTCAAGTGTATTAAATTTAATTTCTCCGTTTCAGGGTAGCGCTCCCGTATGACAAAATAAACACGTTCACCACTCTGTCACACGCGGTCACCACCGAGCTGACGGTAGTGGCCAACGACGATGCTACTGCCGATCAAATTGTGGACAACATAAAGAAAGAATTTGAGGAATCTGGTATGTACACATTTTATTTTAATCATCACAGCTGCTCAAGATGAAGGGTCCCGAATGATCCCGTAACTAATGAAACTTGCTCGATCAAATTACACATAGGTTAAATCGATAGTTATTGGTGGGAAAGGGATTGTTAATAATGGAATTGTTAGTAGTAGTCCTGTAAGGTCAACTTCCACGCGGTTTCCCCTAGAAACCATCGTAGTGGAATTTGTCAAGATTGACTGACCTGCTTTCATCGTCACCTATCATCTATCACTGGTGCCCCGACAGTGTATATCGATAGCGCAGACGGGGATACCATTCCATTATCATCCATTAAAAAAAAAGATAGTTATTACGTTAAAATCTGGTTTTTATGCAACTTATAATGGCAGACGTGCTGACAGATCACTTGATGGTAAATGGTAACCGTCACCTATAGACATAGCATTACTATAGACATAACAAAATATATTATGATATCCATTTTAAGCCCCATACAATAACAATAACAATTATTGTTTCACCACCTATATCACCTTCAAAATGAAATAGGGACCCCGTATACGCCGGCGGGGCATCAGTGAGGGAGGATAGCTGAGAATTAAAGCAGGTCCACATTGCTTAACCACAATAGTTTCCGGGGTATCGCGTGGAGATCGACCTGATAGGGTATATTGCTAACAAAGGGACAGTTAGACCCCATTACTAACAATCCCTTTACCCCCTATCACTCTCTATTAGGTAAATAGATAATCAACTTGTTTGCCGTTCTGTGTATTTGCATGGCTGTTTCGGTTTGAAGGATGGGATATGGTAGTGAATTTACAGGGTACAGAGGAATAACACCTGAGTCCTCAGGAATGGCAATGCATGGGGGGTATCATGGGCGAAACAGTATACTCTGTTATGTCTAAGTACTGCTCATGTCTATAGGCGACGGTTACCACTTTCCATCAGGTGGGCCGTCAGCTTGTTCGCCATTTTAAGTTGCATAAAAAAAGTTATTTAACTATCCACTGAGATTCAGGCTCGGCCTAGTCAAGTGGCTAATAGATTTAATTAAAAATTATTTATTTAATAAAGGCACTTATTTATGTACTGATTCAGGCGGGCAAAGCCATGGGATACAACTAGCGTTACATAAAAAAAAGGTAACATATTATAAATATTGTTTCTAGATGTGATAAAGTTAAACATCAAGAAATTCATACTCCCGGACGGCCTGCGTCGCACCTTGGACTCGGTGGCGGATGACCAGGAAGCCGTCGAGGAAGTAGCAGGCGCGTATGACCTGAAGAAGCATAATACCTTCTACGTGGTGCAACGGTCACAGCTGTACCAGGACGTGTGGTTGTCAAGAGAGAGGCTGGCTTTCTTCAAAGATGCTACAGGTACTGGGTTTTTGATGGGTGAAAATGGTAAGGTAACGATGAGAATGAAAACAGGCCAGTTAGCCCATCATGATGAATTCATCAGGAATTAACCATGATAGTTTCCAGGGAGAACCGCGAGGAGGTCGACCTGGTTGGGTATATTGCTAGCAATAGGATTCTCAGTCTCCATTACCAACAATCCCTTTCCCCCACAGGTACTGTGTTATGTGCTGATGGCACCTTGTAAATTTATAAGTTACTTTGTCTCTATTTTTTTCATGCCACGAAGGTGGCAAAGAAGCATACAGCTCGTCTGATAGTAAACGATCACTGTAGTCAATGGTCGCCTGCAACATTAGCGGTGTCACGTGCGCGTTGCTGATCCTAAAGGAACCTTGGTATACCATTACGTACCTATAGTGCAGTTTCTAGGAAATAACCACTAATAATAAAAATTTTGTTTTTCACGAGAAACCCCAACTTTTATTGTAAAATAAACAGTCATTTTGATTTCAAATCTAAATTACTGGACCGATTTTGATAAAATTTCTATTGAACCAGTGTGTAAGTATATCCTTTCAGATAAGAATGAATTTACCTAATCGGTTTATAAATGACAGAGTTATGAGTTAACAAATATAAAAAAATTACAACCTAATTGAGATCCTTCTTCTTTTTTGACGTCGGTTGAGAAACGGATACCTATCTCTTAAGCATATACAGCAAAAATAAGACAATCTTTCCAGCGTCAAGAACCCTAGTCGAGGTCTTAAGACAGTGGGTGTACCAGACCTCGGTACTAGAGGGCGGCCGCCTGGAGAAACCAGATGTAGCCCGTCAGACCCGTTTCCCGCCCGGCGAGGAGTACCACGTCGTACTGTCCGTGGTGCATCCGAAACCTGACGCTTTGGCTGTTGAGTTTCATGCTGAGGACGCCGTGGAAGGTAAGGATGGATAGATAGATATTTATTACTCTATCACGCAAAAACTACTGAACAGATTTTAATGAAATTTGGTACACGGGTAGGTTTTTTTTAATGGATGATAATGGATTGGTAACCTCGCCTGCGCTATCAATATATGTTGGCGAGGCACCAGTGAGAAATGAAAGAGCAGGTCAGTTAGCCCATTCTGATAAATACACCTGGAATTCAACACGGTGGTTTCCAGGGAGGACCACGTGGAGGTCGATCTGATAGAGTGTATTGCTAACTACTACTGACAATCCCTTTTCCCCACACTTGTAAGTTATATCCTAACATAACATATATGATACTTTATATGTTGATTTATCCAAGCATTCATCGTTCACCGGCCACCATCTTCTCTCGGTTTATTTTGATTTGTGAATAATATTTTCGGAGCTTTAATTTGATAAACAAACTGTCTGTCGGACAGATTCGAATCCCCAATCTTGGAATAAATGAATGATAACTTAACGGTCACGTCTGTCTCCCATTAGGATAAACAGAAACAATGGAACGCCAAAATGCTTCGATTCAACAAACCTCTTTCGCTTCCTCCACATTCATCAATCTTTTCATACACGCTCGCCGGTTACGGGGACTTTTAAATCCCCGACGTCGTCACCCGAGGCACGCACTCTTGGTCCCCGATGATCCAATTACGGTAGCCAACGCGCTCCCTACCCTCCCTACCGCGGAATCTTCGTTGAAAGCCCCTGCAAATACACCCGCACACCGCACACATCGTCCCCGCCGGCGGGAACGAAGATTCCATGCAACACACGGTCGCGCGGATCGATCAGGTTTTTTTTTTGATGGGAGAAAATGGTATGGTAACCCCGCCTGCGCTAACGGGATATGCGTGCGGAGCACCAGTGAAGGGTGATAGATGAGAATGAAAACAGGCCAGTTAGCCCATCATGATGCATTTATCAGGAATTAAACATGATAGTTTCCAGGGAGAACCGCGAGGAGGTCGACCTGGTTGGGTATATTGCTAGCAATGGGATTCTCAGTTTCCATTACTAACAATCCCTTTTCCCCCGACCGATCAGGTTTGCGCCGAGCGCATACGAGTACCAACGATTCAGAGTTCCCACCCATCACAACATACCGACCCTTCGCTGTCCCTTGACGGGGGTCGAAGTGCGGTGGCCTGAAGCCGAGGCCCGAGCCACTCTGGCGCCCTTAGGCGCATGCTGCCGTCCATAAATAAAAGTTGACACCTCTGTCGCTCCCCTCTCGCGGGCTTGGAGTGCCATCTGCACTCGCCCCTGCATACGCGTTCGGTAAAGCTTTATAAAGGCCACTCACGGTCGACAGCAAACACGTTCAGAAAAAAAGGGTCTTTTAATTTGGCCCTTCTTCACCACGTCGTCTATTTGGTCGACATACGTCCGTTTAGGGCTAACTTTATGTGCTTAAATACAGGTTATTGTAAAAAAAATATTTAATGTTGAAACAATATCTGAATATAGTCAACCGTATTTCGTTTTTTTTAAACAACTTAGAATGGCAAACATGCTGACGGCCCACCTGATGAAAAGTGGTAACCGTCGCCTATAGACATGAGCAGTACCATGGACATAACAGTACACACATATACTGTTTCGCCCACGATACCCCCCATGCGTTGCCATTCCTGACGACTCGGGTGTTATTCCTCTGTACCCTGTAAATTGACGCCATATCCCACCCTTCAAACCGAAACACAGCCATGCAAACACAACTGCTTTATAGTTGAAACACGAATGGGACAGAGGTACCCAAGCAAACGAGTTTTGTACAAAGTCTCCCTCTGGTAAATATAATGTTTATAAGGCAGGTTAGTGACCACTAGTTCTCGACGCTATCAAAATAATTAGATAAACATATAAAAACAAAAATGAGGATGCTGTTTTTATTGACTGGCTGTAAAAAAATGGAATATAAAAAAGCATTCGAGAGCAATAGGTACATACAAATTAATGATTATTTTTTTTTTACCCAATTTTAACGACCTCAATAAGAAATCAGTTTGGTTTGATTTTATATCGTAGTTTTGTAACTAGAGCAAGTAGTGGGGTGAAGTAGGTTTTAATGGATGATAATGGAGTGGTAGCCCCGCCTGCGCTAACGGGATACGCTGTCGGAGCACCAGTGAAGGGTGATAGATGATAATGAAAACAGGCCAGTTAGCCCATCATGATGAATTCATCAGGCAGGAACGACGAGGAGGACGACCTGGTTGCGTATATTGCTAGCAATGGGATTTTAGTCTCCATTACTAACAATCCCTTTCCCAATGAAAAGACGGGTCAATTAGCCCATCATGATGATTACACCTAGAATTCAACACGATTGTTGCTTGGGTAGACCACGTGGAGATCGACCTGACAGGGTATATTGCTAGGAATGGGACTGGTAGTCCGCATTACTAATAATTCCTTATCCCAAGCCCTCTCGGATCGTTTTAATGAATGATAATGGAATGGTAACCGCCTGCGCTAATAGTATACGCTGACAGGGCACTAGTGGAAGGTGATAGGTGAAGATGTAATAGCAGCTCAGTTAGACCACCGTGTGAATTCACCTGGAATTCAGCACGATGGTTTCCAGAAGGGACCACGTGGAAATCGACCTGACAGGTACCCTGAATTCTATACAAACAAAATTTCCAACAGTGACTGTCTCTTGCAAAAGGAACTAGCATGATGATATGCCCATTTTTGTTTTCAGATTACATCGGCTCGTTCGTGGACGAACTGAGCGAACTTCACAACTTCACACTCAAATCGCAGTGGCTTTATTTATTAGACTTCGACTTCCAGGCGAAAGAGGTAGGTGTAAATGTGGATTGAGAGAGGAGACCGACCCGCCCCCTGATGGTAAATCAGGGGGCGGGTCGCTGCCGTCGGAGATGTGGTGAGTGGGAAGGCAAACCCATGTCTTCGACATATGGCAGGCACCTCGAGGGTATATCGTCTGGTTTTTGGTGGGTACACCCCCGCCCTATGGGGGGATTTCCATTCACCTCCCACAAGGTGTTTGGTGCATAAAGGATTTTCCAGACGTTAAAAAAAAAAATGTTATATATATATATATATATATATATATATATATATATATATATATATATATATATATATATATATAATATTTTAAGATAGTGTCCTAGAAAAAAAACCGACTTTATTATCGATTCAATTTAGATTTTCATTCTTCATTCATTCATTCTTTCGACATAATAAGAATTTTACAAACAAATTTATAACTGACGGAGTTATGAGGTAACAAACATAAAAAATGCAAGTGAATTGAAAACTTCATTGTTTTTAAAGTCGGTTATGTATGCGCGTGTGCGTGTACGTGCGTACATACGTGTGTGCGAGCGTGCGTGTGTGTGAGTGTGCGCGTGCGCATGCGTGTGCTCGGATAGTAGTCCAAATAAAAACTAAACCGAAACCCATTTTTAACCGAAACTACATAGATCAAAAGTCCGGTCGGACACTAATATTTAGCTATCCTACTCGATACTACAAACCGTCAAAATATTCCAGGTCAAAGACACCAGTGAATGGGGCCGCCACTTCGCAGTCCGCCAGGAGCGGCTGCAGCTGATGCTGACGAGGCTCGAGGAGCGGGCGGCGCCGCAGGTGTCCTCGCGGCCCACCGTCAACCTAGCGCTGTATCTGCTGCCCTGCCACCAGGCGCCGCTTCTCATATATGATAACAACGGTTAGCGTACACAAACCCAGGGACACTAGATGCTTCAGTATCACAACTTGTATTTATCACGTTGGGATAACAGGCCTGCCTTTTCATCCTCACCTATCACCCTTCACTGGTGCCCCGCCAGCGTATACCGATATCGCAGACGAGGTTACAGTATCATCCATTAAAAAAAAGCTTTAAAAAGTTTGTTGCCTCGATCTCAAATAATTACTAGGCACCGATTAAATCACAGGAATAGGGGGGGGGGGGGTGTTAGTAATAGAGATCTAACAGCTACATTACTAGCATTATATCCTCAGAAATGGCAACGCATGGGGGGTATCATGGGCGAAACAGTATACTCTGTTATGTCCATGCTACTGCTCATGTCTATAGGCGACGGTTACCACTTTCCATCAGGTGGACCATCAGCTTGTTTGCCATTCTAAGTTGTATAAAAAAAATATCAGGTCGACCTCCACACGGTTCTCCCTGGAAACCATAGTAGTTAGTTCTTGTTCAATTGGTCACTATGAGCCAACTGACCTGTCTTCATCCTCATCTATCATGCCTCACTGGTGCCCTATCAGTATACTAATAAAGAAGTTACCATTCCATCTTCACACTTTAAAAAAGCCAAAGGGAAGCGGGAACAGATTGTTAGTAATGCAGATTACCAATCCAATTGCTAGCAATATACCCTGTCACAGATCGACTGCCACGTATTTTGTCTCTTTCTTTCATGCTAAATTCCTAATTTGAAAGAAAGTGACGAAACGATGTAATGATTAAAATATCGAAAGTTTTAGTTTTTATGAATAATGGGGTATGTCTCTACATATTGCAGATAAGCCAATAAAATCACCAGTACAAGCCTTCATGTCCCCTAAGTGGGGGGGAGTGGTGATGTACAGTCCTAGCGCTGCAGACTGCCGCGCCGCTGAACCTACCTCCAGCCCCGACGTCCGACTCATCATGGGCACCTTCCTGGCGCAGCTGAGGACGCTGCTGGGCATTGCTGATACCGTAAGTACATCAGGCATATAGCAGATCCTCGGGCTTCTACCAGAGAGAATTTGTGCATGCGTGCCTCTGCTCCATTCGTGTTTCTACATCTGTTCTTGCATGGCGTGGTTTCGGTTCTTAGGATGGAATATGGCAGTTAAATTACAGGGTACTATTTTTTTAATGTGTGAAGATGGAATGGTAACCCCGCCTGCGCTATCGGTATACGCTGGCGGGGCATCAGTGAAGGGTGACAGATGAGTATGAAAGCAGGTCAGTTGACCCGTAGTGACAAATTGAACAAGAATTAACCACTATGATTTCCAGAAGAAACCGCATGGAGGTCGACCTGATAAGGTGTATTGTTAGCAATGGGGCTGTTAAGTCTCATTACTAACAATCCCTTTCCCCCAATTACAGAGTACTGAAGTATATTGGTTGTCCTATGGAATGACACGTATGAAGGGGTTTTAACCGATTTCAAAAAAGCAGGTTCTCAATTCGGCTGTAATGTTTGTTACCTCGTATTTTCAGTTCTAAACCGATTTGGAAAATTTATTTTTATCTAAAAGAACATACTGATTGGTATCATAGAAATTTTATCAAATTCGGCTCAGTAGTTTAGTTTTTAAATCGATATGGTTTTGTCACAATTGAAATAAGTTTTTTTTATGAGACACGTCAGGAATGGCAACGCATGGGGGTATCATGGGCGTAACAGTATACTCTGTTATGTCCATGGTATTGCTCATGTCTATAGGCGACGGTTACCACTTTCCATCAGGTGGACCGTCAGTTTGTTTGCCATTCTAAGTCGTATAAAAAAAAAGATGCGTTCCGCCGAACAATAGAATTACTCACTGGGCCGACCGGCTAGACTACCTACTTTGGCGCGGACCTTTTAAATGGGTTTTACAACATAAAATACTGAGAATATTGTTACCAAATTTTAACTGTATATTTTTGAAATACCATACTTTTAAAATATGAAAAAAAAAATTTTTTGCCCCGCCGGTGTATACCGATAGCGCAGGCGTTGTCACATTTCTATTCTCACCCGACCCGGGGAACCCGATGGTCTTAATCTGGGGGGAAAGAGATTGTTAGTAATGGGGTCTAACTGACACACGGTTCTCCCGGGAAACCATCGTGGTTAATTCTAGTGGAATTCGTCACGACGGGCCAACTGACATGCTTCATCCTCACCTATCAGCTACCGTCCTTCACTGGTGCCCCGCCGGTATATGCCGATAGCGCGGGTGTGGTTACCATACCATTATCACCCATTTAAAAAAGCTCAGCATACGTAAACGATATATCTCCTTTACAAAATACACTTTATAACCTGAGGAGATAGAGAACAAAAAATCCTATTATTAATAGGAATTAAGTGAACTATAGGTAAAAAGGGCGAACACAAGAGATTTCTTTTTTACAACACACGGGGCAAACTATCATGCGGCTCACCTGATGGTAAGTGACTACCACCGCCCATGGTCACCCACAACACCTACGGCATTACAGGTGTGCTGCCGGCCATGGAAAGATCGAAGTTATACAGGATTTTCTGTCTGGAAAAAGCCTGTCTTTCAATAATCATCACCTTCCTACCCTTGTCCCAATCATTTGGGGTCGGGCGTAATATGATTTTAGCCATATTACAAAAAGATTTGGCTTATAGTTTTACGACCGGCCACCTGCCTGACGTCAACCCTCTTTGGGAATGCATTTGTTGGTGGCTTCCGCCACCTACGGTGTTTGTAAAATATGCTGGTTCTTATTATGTATATAATATTTATTAATTATATTATTTGTATGTAAAAATGCCGTCTGTTTACTTGAAGTATTGTATACATTTTGTTCTTTTATTCAATTGTTTATAAATATTTTTTTTTATAAAAAAAAACTATAATTGTCAGTATATGTAAAAAAAGGTTCATTTTGAACATACGGTATGGAGGTAAGGATTGAGGAAAAAAGGAAGGGAACGTTGGAAATGCGTAAAGGAAATTGGTGAATGAGAGGAATAAGGGACTTATGTGGGAAAAGAAAGGGGGGGGGGGGAGACATTGCAGCGGTTTGGGAAGCCGGGGTCGCATATCCGTATGCCCTTATTTTAGAATCAGATTTCTAGAGAACATCCCTGATGCCTGTCTTTTAATAATAATAAATAAAAGACGAAATTGGTACCAAATTGACACACTGTCCATTCGAATACGGTGCCACGGATGTATACTAAATGTCGATTTAGCAGTTACCCATCGCGGTGATGCAACGAAGATTTGGAACGCTGATACTACACTTCTGACGTACGGGTACAAAGTACAGGATTGTGTTCCTTATCAGCAATTTCTGTTTTTTTTTTATGCATAACAATGGAATGGTAACCTCGCCTGCGCTATCGGTATACACTGGCGGGGCACCAGTGAAGGGTGAGGATAAAAAAGCAGGTCAGTCAGTTCATTGTGAGGAATTCAGCACGGTGGTTTCCACGGGAGACCAGGTGGAGGTCGACTTGACATGGTATATTGCTAGCAATGGAACTGGTAGTCTGCATTACTAACAATCCCTTCCCCTCCACTATTTCCCTATATGTAATAGTTTTCTACATATTATGTATTCATATGTATGTACTGTGTATTTAAGCTGAGTTGTTTTTTAACTTGTACATAACCTTCCTACACAAAATTACTCGCTTATCGATTCATCTCTCAAACAAACCCACCATTGGAATCATAAAAAAATAACGATTTAAAAGTGCTCGGAACCGAGGCTATTTGACAATTTGTATTGTACTGAAATAATTTCAAATAATGTTTCTCATTTGTTCAAATCCGTCGTGGTGATGTAGCCGAGCATAGAGGGCGCGGCGGCGGCGGCGCTGCGGTCGGTGCGCGCGCGGCGCTGGGAGCTGGACGCGCTGCTGCGCCTGCGCACGCTCGAGCAGCTCGCCGCCGCGCACGCCGCGCTCGCCTCGCTCGCGCAGCTGCTCGGTCACTACAGTTGTTTATTGTTGGGAATGGCTATTCACATTAAAAAGGCATATTTGTACTCCCAGACATGTCTTCACGGAGTTTCACTCGCATCCTGGTCGTAGGCACGGTATTATTTTGTTTATTTCCGCTAACTATTACTATGTATATGACTACCAACACTCGAAGATCGTCCACCACTATTACTACCAGAAGTTCCATAACCTTCCTTATATTAGCTATCAATCTTCGACTGCCACTTTATTCGCTCACGTTTGCGGCAACAATTTTGTCTACCTGCTGTGAAACTTTTGGTAGTAATAGTGGAAATCAATATTTGAGTGGTGGCCATCATATATATGTTACCAATGGTAGCGGAATTAAACAAAACCATTCTAATCAAATAACTACCAAATTTTAAATCTCGCATACTAACACAACATATTCAGTTGTTAGTATAGGAAACTCAAAATTTTTAATACTTTTAGAGGTCGGTGATTATGAAATAAAACTCGCGTTCATTATAGGGGAAACCAACTCATGTATCAACAGTTCCACAACATTGCAATTAAAATACATTTGTATTAAAACGACTTACCAAATTATACGTCTTTACTGGTCAATGTTCAATCAACGACTGTCAACTGTTGGTCGTTACTTCTAGTTTTTATGTAGACTGTTTTGGCGGGTAAATAATTATTGCGGAAATGACAAATCACCATTTTATAGTTAAATCAGCAACGGTGGCACTTGACAACAGCTATGTTATGATACAAATATAATAAAATATTGGTATACTAAATGTAAAGATGCTAACAATACATTTAAAATTTTTTGATTGCCGAAATTTCTATCCTAATATGTTCTACAGTACGTGACACTAGGACAATACTAGACACGGGACTAGACTAACACTAGGACTAGACACGGGATAACATTTAGTCTAAAATACCGCTAAAAAATACGCCCTATAAATTTGTATACTATATTTCCAGGTGAAATATCAAACATAGTGATCAATGACGAAGTGGGCGCGTCCATCAACTCCGCCGTGAAGTCGATCGAGGCTGCGGAGGAGCTGCTGTCCAAGGATCTGCTGGCCGCGTACAGACTCTCGCTTCGCGCCCACATCGACGCGGAGACGGCCTTCATGGAGCCCAGTCTGTTGGCACTGTTATACTTCCCGGACGACCAGAAGTGGGTTTATTTTAAGAGTAATTTCATTATTATTATTTAAACCGTTGACTGCCCACTACTGGGCATAAGCCTTCCTTGTAAAGGGAGTTTTGCCAGTAGTTGCCACGCTTGGCAGGTGGGTTGGCAACCGTAGTTAGGCTTTTAGAGATGTTTTAAAAGGGACGTTGCTGCCTATCCTTTGACCATTAGGTTCCCTAAGTCGCCTTTTACGACAGCCACGGGAAAGGAAGGGATCGACCATTTTATGCCGGAGCACACATAGCCAGTGATAATAAGCGAATGATAATAAAATTTCGGTATACGCTGGCGGGGTACCAGGTAAGAGATAGTGGGTGACGATGAAAGCAGGCCGTTAGGCCATCGTGATGAATTCGCTAGAGGGAGACTTTATACAAGTCATATGCTTGAGTAACTCTGTCCTATTCGTGTTTCTACCGTGAAGCAGTTGTGTTTGCATGGCTGTGTTTCGGTTTAAAGGATGGGATATGGCGTGAATTTACAGGCTACAGAGGAATAACACCTGAGTCCTCAGGAATGGCAACGCATGGGGGGTATCATGGGCGAAACAGTATATCTCTGTTATGTCCATGTTACTGCTCATGTCTATAGGCGATGGTTACCACTTTCCATCAGGTGGGCCGTCAGCTTGTTTGCCATTTTAAGGTAAACCACGAATGGTTTCCAGTTAACTGAATAAAACCTATTAAGATAATAAATACGAAAGTTTATAACCATGGATACTTGGTTGCTCTTCGGTACAAAAGTTACTAAACGGATTTGAATGAAATTTGGTACACGAGTAGGTTATATTCCAACTTAGCAAATTGCAATATTCATTATGACATCTTTTCCAGGTATGCCATTTACATCCCCTTGTTCCTGCCAATCATGTTCCCGGTGATACTCTCGCTGAAGAACCTGCTGTTGTGGTTCAGAGGAAAGGCCGTTCACAAAGAGAAGACTGAGTGATGTCAGCATTATGTGTTTTAAATAAAATTATCTGTGTTTCTATAAACAGTTTTATTTTAAAACAATTAAAGTGGAATAGATAGATAGATAGATACTCCTTATTGTTTCCTCCAAAAGATTACAATAGTAAACTTATTATAGATACAAACAATTACAAGAAATAATCACTATGAGAAAACAATGGGCGACCTTATCGCTAAGAGCGATCTCTTCCAGCCAACCTTTGGATGGAGAGGAGTAATTATAAACAGTTTGATCGAAGGCCCGATGAAATTCTATTATTTCTAAAATATAGAAATGTGACACATGTAATAATGTAAATATATATCGCTGCTTATTTTATATACTAATATACTATTGTATATATACACACATACGTACATATATACATACATAGTGACTCTGCCTGTCCTATTTTTTTGTTTTTTTTTTAATGGGTGATAATGGTATGGTAACCCCGTCTGCGCTATTGATATACACTGGCGAGATACCAGTGAGGGATGACAGATGAAGATGAAAGCAGGTCAGTTAGCCCATTTTGACGAATTAAACTAGAATTAGTCACGATGGTTTCCAGGAGGAACCACGTGGAGGTCGACCTGATAGGGTATATTACTAGTAATAGGGCTATTTGACCCCATTACCAACAATCCCTTCCCCCCCTATTCGTATGGTTTACCTAGGTATACCAATGAGTGATGTCAGGTGATGATTAACACGTTGTCAACCGAGAATTCCCTCATGATTGAAATCTTTAGAATTAAACTAAAATAGTGTCAAAAACCTAAATACAAAGAAAAGTAGTTTTTTGGTCATGAACGTTTTGTAATCCAAACGGTGTTGCCCGTCGTGGTAGGAGGACATACCTACATGGTAGTGCAATGACGAGTTTAATAGTGGGTCAGCAATGTTGGGATATGAAAAGACGAGCTAACTCGTGGTGACAAATGGGTCAGCAAAGTATTAAGTCAGTTCAGTTCGTCCATCATAACGATTTTACCAGCATTATGATTTTCAAGGTAACCTAATGGAAGTTGACCTCACAAGATGTGTTGCCAGCAGAGGGACCGCGTTACAACAATCCCATCCCCAATTTGTTCATTGGTTTGATAGTCAAGACGCAAAAAAACGTTACAGAGAGAGATGCTAGATTTACAGGGGCTAAGGAATTGTTAGAGACGGGGTTTTTTTAATGGATGATAATGGAATGGTAACCTCGCCTGCGTTAACGGTATACACTGTAGGGGCATCAGTGAGAGATGATAGGTGAGAATAAAAAGCAGGTCAATTAACCCATCGTAACGAATACACCTCGAATTCAGCACGATAGTTTCCAGGGAGGACTACGTGGAGGTCGGCTTGATAAGGTATATTGCTAGCAATAGGACTGATAGTCCACATTAATAACAATTAATCCCCCTCCCCCAGTAATTGGGTTTAACAGCCTCATTGCTAACAACCTCCACGCGGTTCCGCCTGGACACCATTGTGGTTAATTCTTATGAAATGCGTCAATATAGGCTAACGAACCTGCTTCATCATCTCTCACTGGTGTCCCTCCAGCGTATATCGATAGCACAGGCGAAGTATTCCATTTTCATCAATTAAAAACCAGACTCATTTATTTTGCCACTACGAGCAAAAATATGCCCCCCCCCCCCTTCCTAAATTGTGTATGCGACCATCCAGTCTACGGCATGGAGGTGTCGATGATGCCTTTGAAAGGTACTTACTTACGAACTTGGCTATTGTTATTTTTTTTTGTAAAATCTTGGTGGTATATGGGAAATGTCGACGTATATGGATAAATAAAATGAACATACATATATGCATCACATAATATTTAATACCGAGGTACTTAGATAATCACAATTAAAATTTTAATCTTACGCTAGTAGGTATTTTATGTTGATATTAATCGTGCACAATTATGAACGTGTGAAAATTGCTATACTTATTTCTATATAACACTTACAGAAACATAACGCAGTTCTTTTGATATGTGTAAACTCGTTTCTTAACCTATTACGACAGTAGTTACTTGATTTCAATATTGCAGGTCATTCAATTATATTGTAAAATGCAATTTCTGGATTGCAAACTGCGTTGCCAGAATGCGCATTTTTTTTTCACAATAATGGGTAAAAAAATTCTGTTCGTGAAATATTGGGGAAACGAAATTTTTGGAGAGAAATTGGACATTTTTTATGCAACTCTGAATGGCAAACAAGCTAACGGCCCACCTAGTGGAAAGTGGTAAACGTCGCCTATAGACATGAACAGTACTATGGACAACAGAGTAAGTACTTATACTGTTTCGTCCATAATGTCCTTCATGCGTTGCCATTTCTGAGAAGTTATGACTCTATACATACTGTATGTTTGCATGGCTGTGATTTACAGTCATGCAAACAACTGTATGGAGAAATTTGAGTATTTTTGTGACATAGTCCGTCCATAGTTTAAGATCTAGCGAAGCAAATTGTATCAATTTCGAGGAAAAATATTTAAAATACCCACATTTTAGAAAGAACATATTGCATCTGGCAACGCTGATAGTGAACGATATGACAATATTTGGCAATGGATGACAGAGATTTTAGAAGTCCAATATAATCTGATAATGTAATAATTGTATACAACGAAAATGTATCGACAGCGTTACAGATGGTATTCTCAAAAGGGTCTGCGAAATTTACTATTAATAAAAGGTTTTTTGGAATACCAAGACTACTCTATGGAATATAGCATGGTGCTAGTGACAGGTGTTTTTTTGTAATAACTCCTTTAAACACTTTTGGAATGGATAAAATCCCATGAGTTCACATCTAGTTATTGATCGATCAGAAGTTCCCAATCAATGGTTGTTTTTTTTTTCTATTTTAGACGCCATAAACAACCAAACATATTAAAAATAATAAAATACATACAATAGTATTGAAACATATATATCACTACTAAAAAGCAACTTGGCTTATTCCACAAAACATTTGAATTAATTTGTTACGATTGGCTTCAAAATCTACTTTTATTCCCCTTTCGAATTCTTAATCTCTCGACGAAAGATGAGCTGTCCCCGCACCATGCCATCATCAAGTCCAGATCTGATCTAGAAAAGTGCCTGCAAGGCAAATGTCCAGAGCGGCAAAATAATTTCACTGCGAGTATATTCATTATAAAAGGTTGCAGATTATTTACATTTGCCCGAAGCGGCAAATAACTAGATCGGACTCTACACTGAGCAGTATTTACGCTTACACTTTTCATATGAATTGAGGTATACACGTCGTGTCTCTTACGAGTGTGGGAGAAGGTACACGTTGACCACGAAAATTAAAACACCAACTACATCGAGATTAACTACGGCACCACAACATTATGGCTCCACCCAATCGGTTTCCGTTATCATTGCCACATTCTCGCCTTTACCAGGCAAATACTCCAATTCCCACAAAGAATTCCCCAAAACTAGGGTCTCCCCTTCAATCAACTCCAAATTTAGAGTGTAACACTCGTCTTCACAGGGCGCCCGAGGTTTTAGCCTTATATAAGTTTTCCCTTTCAACTGAGACATAATTATAAGTCCGACATCCAGCTCTAAATATTTATACCTGTGTGTATCATAATTTTTAGACATCAGCAACCAATTAAAATGAGATGGGGGTATGTGCGGCGATAGGAAGTAGGGTCTTGGCGCCAAAACCCTAAAGGACTTTACAGCTCTTATGTCGCAGTTTTGGAAATGCACGAACCAGCTGGGGATATCCGTGTTGGTGATTCTGGAGACGATCTCCTCCAGGTCCATGGGCTGGCGGCCCAGCCTGATGTTGGTTAGTACCCTGCAGGGTACAGAGCCCCGGAGCCGGTCGTCTTGGCTGATGAGATTGGTCAAGTTGAGGTCGGTGCGAGATATGGACCAGTCGTAGTATGCGTCCACGACGATGACAGGAGCACCGCGGAGCAGGTGATGGTTGAACACTTCGTGGTAACTCACATCTGATATGCGTGCGACGGTATCTGGAAAATAATGGTCTAAATTAACAAATTTACTTAGGTATCTTATTAATATTATAAACTAGCTGTTTCCCGCGGCATTACCCACTGTAACTATGTAGATCCCGTACATCATTCCCATTGGAACTCTTCATGAATCCGATCTTGTACTATGTACTTAAATGATAATTACGTACCTAATATCTTTATAAAGTTTTAGTCAATTCCACTGACTGGTTATTTTATAGCATTTTATATGTGATTCTTTAGATTGATATAATTTTTTTATTTACGAACCGATTGAAATAAGCACCAAATATTAAGTGGAGCAACTGAGATAAACCTACAAACAGACAAAAATTCTAAAAATCATTGTTTTAGGTTATTTTGCGTTTAATAATTTTTCTATATATATATATATATATATATATATATATATATATATATATATATATATATATATATATATATATATATATATACATACAGATAGCGACTATTTTATTATAGATATAGATGTCGAAATATTTTAACACATTCGTTATTCACCGTTCATCCCAAAGTTTTTTCTACAACTTAGAATGGTAAACAAGCTGACGGCCCACCTGATGGAAAGTGGTAACCGTCGCCTATAGACATGAGCAGTACCATGGACATAACAGAATACTGTTTCACCCATGATACCCCCCATGCGTTGCCATTCCTGAGGTCTCAGATGTTATTCCTCTGTACCCAGTAAATTCACGCTATTATACTCGTATTATATTAGAGAATGCTACTGGCATTAAGTCCGCCTTTTGCACCATATTTTCTTTTGAACAATAAAGTTATTTAAATAAATAAATAAATAAACATTAATATCTCATCAATACTATAAATACTGTAACAGTATAAATACAATAGTTTATATAAATGGACGAATGGATGTTTGTTACTCATGTACGCAAAAACGATTGAACAAATTTAAACGAAATTTGGTACATAGGTAAGTTATATCCTAACTTAATACATACTTTATGTACTGATTCACGCGGACGGAACCGCGTGATACGGCTAGTGAGAGATTTTTTTGTTGAATTGACTGAACCAGGGGGAAAGGGATTGTTAGGAATGGAGACTAAGAATCCCATTGCTAGCAATATACCCAACCAGGTCGACCTCCTCACGGTTCCCCCTGGTTAATTCCTGATGAATTCATCATGATTGGCTAACTGACCTGTCTTTTCATTCTCACTTATCATCCCTCATTGATGCCCTGTTAGCGTATACCGATAGCGCAGGCGGCGTTACCATTTCATTATCATCAGGGTCGTAGCTAGACCCAAGTTTAAAGTAGGGCAAAAGAACTTTTTGGCAGGGCGGAAGCCATAATCAAGTGATTTTGTAAAAGCGAATTTGTCTCAAATTTTTGGAGCTTTTTATTTTAAGGTAGGACATTACCCCTCTATGTCTCTTTTAGACATGGTTATCATTCATTAAAAAAATCAAGAACGTTGGTATTTGGTGCGATCACCAATATTGGACATCCTGATGCGCTGATAACGTACGCAAACATACATATGTTTGTATGTTAATGATAACCGTTTTCCATCAGGCGGGCTGTATGCTTGCTTGCAACCATAGAGAACTTACTCTTATAATAATTATAATTTAAACGTAATGAAAGGCAACGGTTAATTTTATTTTTAATTAAAAAGTTTTTAAATTAGTGGAAATTATTAAGTGTTGCAAACTTAGAAGCAAAATATTTTCCAATGACAATAAACAATTTCTAAATTAATAATTACTTTCGAGAAATACGTTAAAAATAAAGTAAGATCACAGGAAAGTCGAAAATTCACGCAAATGCGTTAAATTAAGTATATGCAAAATCCTTACTTATTTTTTGGCTTTTTTAATAAGTTGCAATAGCAAAAATGTCTAGAAAAGATGGACGGTTATACCTAAAAAAAGTTGACCCAACCGGAAATGGAATCCATTACGTAGAGAAGATTACTTATAAATAGAAAATCTCATGAATTCTACAAAAGCAATAAAATTAATTCTATGTTTTGTTGTAGTACTTAACCGTTTTTTTTTTAACAATTACAATTAATATCTAAGACTTACTTATAGCCTCACAAGCAATACAATCCGACGTTGATATTACATTGTTATCCAAGTTCTGAGGTTGTGACCGCTGAATCAAACACTTATTATAGTACAATGGCGTCCAATCCCAAATCGGAAGCATTTTTATCAATACGATCCTTGCAGCCGCAGATGCGTGCCATTGAAACGTATCTGTTTGAACCACGGTATATCCGATCGCAACCACCATGATTACAAAAAGCACTACCCTCGTCCATCTCTTGATGGATGCCTTTCTTACAGCATTGGTGAGCGGGCGACATATTATATCCATCTCTTCATCAGTCATACCGGCCTCTTTACAATATTCGTAAAAAGAACGCACTTCCGAGTTAATCAGCTCGAATTTTTCGCGTTGGGACATTTTCATCCCATTTTTAAGACTCATTTTCACGAAGTGACCTAGTCCTGGTAACTTTCAGCGATCGATAGTAAATTTGCAACGCAACGGGGCTATCTATCGAATGAAATTTGGCGCGCGCGCGCTGTGTCCATAGGTACTCCTTTTTGGTATGTTGTAAACTTGCGTCACGGAAGTCAATGACATTAACAATGTAAAAAAAAAACAAATAATTTTTCTTGTCAATTTTCCGACTAAGTTATGCCACTGCAATTAATAAATATCTAAGTCGTTTTAAGAAAAATAATTTTATTCTACAAAACTATGAATATTAAAGTCTAATTAATATGTAGAAAATTACTAATCGTTTTGAATTTTATCAGTAGTAATATAATATTTTGGAATATTTTATAATATGATGTTTTGTACCTTCTGCTTATTTTCTATATTATTAAATTTCTTATTTGATTCAATGAATTGATACCACAGAGTAGATAGCACCGCCTGATATTTGTACTAACAACACTAAAAGTCAAATACCTTTCCGCCATATTGAAAGTTCTGAAGTGGGAAGTCGGTCAAACGTTGACCCTATTCAATATTTCTATTTATCGTGTAGCGATATTTATTCTAAAAGTGTTCTAAAAATTAACTTATATATTTAGTGATATGCCTGTAGTGATTTGTATTTGAAAAAGTGTATATTTACTTTTTTGCAATTTGTTTGATGAATACGTCACAGCGCCATGTTGTATTCCTGCGCTGATTGCAGGCACGAGAAATCTGCCAACCCGTTTATTTTTCGGGATTAGTTCCCGAGAATAAATCGAACTGCGATTTTGTACTCAAATATATTTTAATTTATATTTGTTGGCAAATGTCAAACAACTTTAGTGAAATCGATGCATCGCTGTTGTCGCATTTTGAGTGTTAACTCTTAATTTCAACTGCAGTTTAGTGCATCCGCGAAAGTTGAAAGGACTGTGTTGTAAAAGAAAGAAGTAATAATTAGCCAAAATTCCGGTCCCTACGCGCAGACGAGAAGGTGCCTACCCACCGGGGCAGTCAGGCGACGGAGATATGAACAGTAAACGCAAAGGCCGTCAAGGGCCGCCGAGGTAATTGTCATTACATTCATTAACTTAAGCATCAGGATGACATGTCTTTGTTATTAGGCCTGCTACACAGTGCAATACGGCATTGGTTTGGGTTGTCACGTTGACAGTATGGAGATCGCTAGCGTGGGAGAAGTGTAAATAAGGTGAGATTTTTAACAAATCATAGGGTGTGTTGTGTCAAGGCGCGATCGGTGCGGCGCGTCACCCCTAGTCTAGATGTTTGCCCTACTTTTGTCTAGATCTCCGATTAATATAGGCGCGTGCAATCAGCTGATCCTAAAGCTTGCCTCAGATATGTTAATCACCTTTACTTGTTAAGCACTTAATTTTGTTGTGTGTAACCATAATAATCTCTTCTAGGTATACACAGAGTTTGATGTTTTACTATTTGCTCGATCCCATTGTAGTTCTAAGAGCTTTATGCCATTTGTAATGCTTTCACTATATTATATTCTAACAATGGAAATGCTTGGCATTGCTCCAAACCTCTTAATTAGTGTGATTTTTAATTTATACTCTGTCTTGGTTAAATATTTTAAACTGATTTCAATTCTTGTAACCCTGTAGCAATCATTTTCATAACTGTTAGCCCTTAACGGTAAGATTTTGTACTTCTTTCGTTTTGTAACAACAGTGTTTACGTATAGAACTAAGTTGACAGTAGTAACACATAATTTTGCCATTTTGTTTTCTTATTTCATTAACCATTTTTACATTGTGTTAGTCTAAGATACAGATAATCCATCAACCAAATTTTATTTAAATCTGTTTAGCCATTAAGCTACTCTGTGAATATAAACATCCAATATCTTCATAAACTTTTTTTTTATGGGTAAGAATGCGATGGTAATCCCTTCTGCTCTATTAGTATATGCTAAATGTACCAGTAAGAGATGAAGCGGATGAAAGCAGCTCAGTTAGTCCATCTCAAGTCCATAAGAATTAACTGAGATCGGTAGGGTGAATCACATGGAGACTGACCTGATAGGGTAGAGTATATTATTGCTAGCAATGGGACTGTTAGACCCCATCTTTTTTTAATGGATGTAAATGAAATAGTAACCCCACCTGTACTATTGGGGGGAAAGGGATTGTTAGTAATGGAGACTGAGAATCCCATTGCTAGCAATATATCCAACCTAGTCAACCTCTATACGGTTCTCCCTGGAAACTATCATGGTTAATTCCTGATAATTCATCATGATGGGCTAACTGGCCTGTTTTCATTCTCATCTATCACTTATCCTTCACTAGTGCCCCGCTATGGTATACCGGTAGTGTAGGCGGGACTGTCATTCCATTTTCACCCATTAAAAAAACCCCTCGCCTGTACTATCGGCATACACTTGTGTTTGACCCCGTTACTAATATACCCCTATTGGGAAGAAAGGCATTGTTAGTAAGGTGATCTAATAGCCCCATTGCTAGCAATATATCCTATCAGGTCAATATTTACATGGTTTCCCCTGGAAACCATTGTGATTAATCATTGTGGAATTTGTCAAGATGGGCCGAGGACCTGTTTTCAACTTCACCTTTCATCTCTCATTGGTGTTCTGCCAGCATTTACCATTAGTGCAGGGGGAGTTACTATTCCATTGTCACCCATTAGAAAAAACATACCCTTTCTCTACTTATTAAGTATTAGTAATATTTGTTATAGGATTTGAAGTGGTAAACAAGCTGATGGTCCACTTGATAGTAAGTGGTTACTGTAGCCTCACAACATGAACAGCTCATAGTATCTCCCATATATTGCCATTTCTGTGGATTAGTTTTATGCTTCCATACCCTGTATTTTTACTGCTGTATCCCACCTTTTAACCAAAACACAGCCATGCACGTATAGCTGTCTTGCAGCAGAAACACTTCTGATTTTCAATAATTATATATATATATAATTACCATTTGACATCAGTTGGGCCGTCAGCTTGTTTGCCATTCTAAGTTGTATATATATATATATATATATATATATATATATATATATATATATATATATATATATAGTCCATATATTTTTTATTTTTTTTTTTATTTGGTAACATATAAATGACAGAAGAAATTTTAACCGTTTTTATTCTAAAAGAACTGTATTAGGTCATATTTTTAGAGTCAAAAAGTTAATCTGATTATCCCTTACTCTTTCACAATTGTTCTGTGGTACCGGCATCAATGCATGTGGCATAGAATGGGCCATCTTTCCTTTCCCTCGATTCTAATAAGAAGTGATTAAGATAACTTAATTTTCAAGAGATGTGCAACAAGGCCCATCTTAAAACATTACCAAAACCTAACTGCGGTTGCCTGCCAAATTTGGCAACCACTGGCAAAGCTCCCCAATAGAAGGAGGATTATGTTCAGCAGTGGACAGTTAAAAGCTGACATGAAAATTGCTTTGTAGAATTTGTAGAACCTTCACAAGTTGCTTTACCATATCTGTAGTAGTTATTTCTTAGTCCAAATTGTCACCCATATGTAAGACATATTGCTTCGAAATTGATTAACATACAAAATAATAATCACATGGTTACTGTAGGTGTGTTGTAATTCTTATTTTGTGTACTCTGATTTTGTTTTTGTTTTTTTTTTTTTTTAATTTTTTGTACATGTATCTTTTTTTTATTATTTTTCCTTTGCATTTGTGTCTTTTGCTGTTTGTGTGCTGTAAGTAATGCAAATAAATTATTTATCTATCTGTTTATCTACTCCTACACTACTTTACTATTAATATTATTGTGATATTTACCCATAATTATATCTGCATACTTATTAAAGTGTCTATCAAGGCGAAAAAAAAAACTAGCTTTATTTACTTTTGTAAAACAAACAATTCAAAATGTGTTATATATATAATTTGACTTTAGTTTTTTGTCCCTTTAAGTAGTGCATAATTATTTTAACTGCTATATCCCACTCTTCTTACTGAAACAGCCATGCCAACACAACTGCTTCACGGTTGAAACACGAATCGGACAGAGGTACCTAAGCAAACGACTTTTGTACAAAGTCTCCCTCTGGTCATATTATACATACCTGTCTCCAAATGGTTATGCATATTATTATTTTATTATTTAAATTACAAATAAGATCTGACATGTATCTGAATATATTTTGTTTGACACAAAATTTAATTTAAATTTATAATAATTAAATAACTCTTTTACTATATCTTAATGTAAAAATTGCTAGTTTAACTTACATCTAGTAATTACATTGAAAAAACTTAACTCGTGTCAGAATCAATTTGTGATCCTTAGTCAATAATAACAATAAAATTCTTGTGCTAGTCTGTATATTAACACAAATTTATATATATATATTCATATATTCTTTGTAAGTGATATTGAGTTTCTTGTTTGCTCTTCTCAGCTGAAATCGTATTCGGAACTGGGCAGCGAATTCATACAAAAATACTATTCAGAAATGCTTGAAGTTAAGTTTACTTTAATAAAAAAAAACTTATATTATGATTGTAAACAATTACTTTCTGACTTGTCTTTCAGCAAAGACTAAAAAGGACTTTGCCAATATCCCCAAAGAATACCTTGTAGGAAAAAATAAATATCACTGTACATTTTTTATGGGTGAAAATGGCATGGTAATACCGCCTGCGCTATCGGTATACACTGGCGGAGTACCAGTGAGCAGTGATAGGTGAGGATGAAAAGGCAGATCAGTTAGCCCATTGTGACCAATTCAATGATAAATTGACCACGATAGTTTCCAGGGGGAACCGCGTGGAGGTCGACCTGTTAGGGTATATTGATAGCAATAGGGACTAACCTCCCCATTACTAACAATCCCTTCCCCCCATCACTCTACATTTACACAAAATCATCTAGTCCCAAACTAAATAGTAATTGAATTCTGGGTAGTAGAATATACATACAGAAAATTCTAGTGCTTTCTGTATATAATATGTATTTATATATGTTTATGTCTATCAGTTTTCTACTACTCACAGTACACTGTTTGGCTTACAACTAGATGGCGCTATGTACTTGTGTGTGTACACACGTGTGTACCTGTATATGTATGTGTTTTGTGTAATATGTATTTACATATATTTCCCATACCAATACAAACAGTTTATACTCATGAATACAAATCTTGTATCGTATTGTATACTCTGTTATGTCCATGGTACTGCTCATGTCTAAAGGCGATGGTTACCACTTTCCATCAGGTGGGCCGTCAGCTTGTTTGCCATTCTAAGTTGTATAAAAAAAAATTCTATAACCATTGAATTTTGAGGCAAAGTATTAAACTACTAGACTGCTAGTGAAATACTGACTTTAATAGGCATTTCATCATACGATGTCAGCCATTAGCTGTCCACTGCAAAGATAAGCTATTCCCATATGGGGAGTTTTGCCAGTAGTTGCCATGCATAGCAGGTGGGTTGGCAACTGCGGGTTAGATTTTTGGAGATATTTTAAGAGGGAAGTTGTTGCTCATTCTTCACCCTTAGTCGCCTCTTACGACACCCTTAGGAAAGGAAATGGCAGCTTATTCTATACTGAGGCTACACAGCAAAGAAAACTGATATACATAGTTAAATACTTTCTTTTCTAAATACCATGACTATTAATACAATACAAATCTTGTATGGGAATTAAACCCGTGACCATCGAACAGTGAGACTATTTGTCAAACCAATAATAGGTTGCTAGTGAAATGCTGAAGTCAATAAATACTTAATCAAATAATATTTGATTTAGTTATTAATATTTATAACTTTTTTTTTTTAAATCTTTTCAATTTATCTTTAAAACATCTGTATTTCCTTTTTAAATTTACCCCCTTATTCATAAAAGCTAAAATCTATAAATCTATTATATTATAACAATTGCACTATTTTGTCACTTTCTTTCAAGTTGGGAATTTAACTCCAGAGAAAAAGATAAAATAGTTCAATAGTTAAAGTCGGTTAATGAGAGATTTTATGTTTTTATGAATAAGGGGGTTAGCTTTATAACATCTAAATTTGAAAAAAA